CCGTTGATTTTTTATAATTTTTTTTTTTGCCGAATGTGTGTAACGCTGCCGCTGAGATTCAAAATATATATTTAAATATTTTAAGGAATTTTAAAAGAGCACTTAAAAGAGGAAAATCATAGGTAAAATGGTAAATGGGGTACGAAAAATTGAGGTACTTAGGCGGGTTGGGTAGATAAGCGGGGAGGTACATAAGGGAGGTATTTTCTTCAGATTACATTCAAAAATTCACATTGCCCAAAAATGATGGTTACTTAAGCGGGTTAGGTACTTAAGCGAGGGGGGGTACTTAAGCGGGTTTCACTGTATACATATAAATAGTTATTTCTTGTTCTCATTTTGGTTGTAGAAAGCCCACGGCCACAGACACGATAATACACAATAGTTCAAACCACCCGCAACAGCACAAAAATGCAGCCCTTAGACATCTAATATCCAGGCTTGAACGAACCCAATTGGAAAAAGAAGCTTACAGCAAAGAACTTAATACGATATGCGCAATCGGGGAAAATAACGGATACAGAAGGGGCGTAGTAAGCAAGATAAGAAGAGAAACAAAAACGAAGAAATCAAATAAGAAGGAAAATAATGAAAAGGCTTGGGCAGTCTTGACTTATACGGGCAAAACGTCATATAAATTGGCTAAGGTATTCCAAAAGTATAACATTAATACAGCATTTAGAACGAAGGACAATGTGGGGAGGATACTACGAAATAGTGGAAACGAGGAAGACCCACTAGACAAGCAAGGTGTATATAAGTTGACTTGCGAATGTCAACATAGTTACATAGGACAAACAGGGCGCAAGATAAAAACAAGATGTCGTGAACATATAAGGGACTACAACAAAAAATACTAAAGCCTTCTACCACACCGGAATCGAACTTCGCAAACCATATGGCAGAAAACCATTGTACGCCAATGAAAATAGGAAAGACAGCCAAAGTTCTCCATGTACAGCACAAAGGACAACGCCTAAACGTATTAGAGAATATGGAGATATACAAACAAAAGACGTTCGTCGGAAAAAAAAATAAATGACCAAATAAACACCGCATCTGATATATTATTCGAACCACTCAGGCTACTATACGCAAAACAAAACAGATACCCTGCACCTACCATAAACAATGAAATGCAGGTCCAAACTATAGATACAAAGAGAAAGAAAATAACTGATTTTTACCTACCTGCGAATCCATGCAACAATTAATCAAAAAAGAGGTGAGCAGCTAATTTCTACCTGAGGATGTACACACAGAACTGAAACTACTGGTTGAACGAAAGAATATAATCCGCTGAGACGTACCTAACTATGAACCAACGACGATTTAACACGGCTATAAATAGTGACAGACAAACAGAAACTATTCAGAACGAAAAATTACACTGAATATGGCACAACGCCGAAACCGGTTTGTCTCCAAACCAAATTTGACAAGGGATGACGGAAAATCGTTCCACATTACATCACAGTTATTTCTTGCTTACAATGTTGGTAAAATGAAGGATGTAATTAAGTAATTTAACAACTAATTCAGAATTTTTATTGTAATAATTTAAATTGCAAATTCAATTTTCACTGTATACATATAAATAGTTATTTCTTGCTTACAATGTTGGTAAAATCAAGGATGTAATTAAGTAATTTAACAATTTATTCAGAATTTTTATTGTAATAATTTAAATTGCAAATTTTATTTTTCGCTTTCCTTTTGCGAATCCTTCTGTTATCCTTTCAGTGTAAATTTCAATATCTAAGTGTTACGTGTAAAAGTGCTAGACCTATCAGTTTTTCTTCATTCATGGCACTACGCAACCAGGTTCTTAACCGGCGAAGGGTTGAAAAACTTCTTTCGGAAGTAGCATTATTAGCTGGAAGTGTGACCAGAATGCGAAGAAGTTTGTTAATCAATGGAAAAGCATATTCGTCGTATTTACCAAGAACTTCTGCTGCTGATTTTGGGAATGGCTTTTCGCTTTCCTTATTTGTCCATCGTTCCAACCACACTTTATACTCTCCTTCCAAATAAATACCGTCTTTTTCTAAGAAAAGTTCGCTTTCCAAGCGATTTTACGCGTTCGATAGCATTATTTTTTTCTTCAGGCGAATTATATTCCCCAATTTTAGATGGAAGTAATAAGTTCAAATCAAAAATGTTTAATGTCTCTTTTGGCAATCTTTCGCGGGATCGATCAGAAAAATGTGTGTCAGCATTTTCTCTATAATTTCGAAGAATATTCACATTGCCACTGACTGCTGCGCTAGCACGATTCAAGTCAAGCGAGGGCGCTTGGAGAAGTAAACTTTTAATTTTTAATTCAACTTTTTAATTTATATGTCGGGTTCTCCATAACTTTCGTTTATCGTTGACGCGTATATGCAGCGATTCGCTAGTGGCTACACTCTTTTCAACCAACGTTCACCTTTTGTTTCAAAAAACCAACTGTATCATCAAAACTCATTTTCCTTCATTCTAATCAAAAGCCTACTTTTTATATTTGGCTTCGCGTAGCCTACCAAGTTTTATTCTTTCAGCAAGTGTTTTCTTAAACAAGTGTTTTTCTAAACAAGTGTTTTCCTAAACAAGTGTACCACCTTTTTTTCGCTCAAGCAATACATCATTGCTTGGCATATACACACATCATATCTCCGACACGGCCATTCTGACAAGTCACACGTCCTCGTGTGATTCACGTACTCGACCAATCCTGACCCAACAAAGCAATTCATCCGATATTACCATTTTTATTATTATAATAATAATTTTATTTTTTTTTTATTAATTCACAAACAGGTTTATTTAATTTTATGGTCACAAAAATGATATGAAACTAAGTTTATGCATTGAAAGTATGGATTCATTAAATCAATTTAACTCAAAACTGAATACATGTGTCCTCTTCAACGTACATACTACTTTCCACGGCCATCCTGGCCTACCACACGTCCTCGTGTGGTACTCTTCACATTCTCTAATCGCTTCCATCCAGCTTTTAATCAACATCGTTCTAAAACTTAACCAGCGTTAGAACATTTTACAAATCATACCTTAAATGCTTCCATCCCAACACTAAGCCAGCGTTAGAGAACTCGTTTTCAACTCCACATCTATTAACAACTTCCATCCAGTGTTGATGCTTATATTACACTTGTAATATTCAATTTGTTCAATAACAATGTGACAACATGCATTCAGACTCAACTTAAAAAAAGGTAAATTATTAGGCTAAAATTTAGTATAAAAAAACATTCTTTACTCAGCATTAACCACATATAAATCAACTTCACCTTCAGGCATTTTGCGTAACCGGTCATGAGCATATTTATAAGTTCTTTTGGAGCTAGTATTCGAAATTACATATCAGTCACCATCTAAAATTTCAATAATTTTAAATGGTCCTTTATATTTAGGGTCTAGTTTTGTTTGATTTCGTTCCTCATTCTGAAGCAAAACGAAGTCACCAAGAGCAAACTTGTAAATTTTAGCTTTACTTTGATCAAATTTAGTTTTGTTATATTTAGCACTCTTTTCAATATTGGCTTTGGCCGCTTGTCTCAATGCGTCAATATCAACGTTTTGCTCAGTCCCATCAAATAAATTAAGGTCAAGGGGTCTAGCTACTTTACCAATCATCAACTCAAGAGGACTAGATTTTGTGACAATTCAAAGCTAACTGTACGTCAAGGAGTGCATCTTGCCATGAACTCTCCTTACTAGTTTCAACAGCCGTAAGCATATTCTTTAACGTACTCATTACGCGTTCAACTTGTCCATTGGACCTTGAACTACCTGTTGCTATTAAATGAAGGTTAATTCCATGCATTTTACAAAATTCACGGAACTCGGAACTAGCAAAACATCTTCCCTGATTCGCTATGATACGAACAGGAGCACCAAATAATGAAACAGAATATTTCACGGCACGAATACTACTGGCAGTATCGATGTGCGAAGTGTGGTACAAAGTCACAAACTTCGTGAATGCATCAACCAATACAAACACATACTCTTTCTTATCATTTTTTCCACTAAGCTTGCCTGTGGCATCTATATGTACTGTATGCCAAGGTATAGGAACTTTTGGTATAGGGTGAAGCTCAGCTTGTAACTTTCCCGAGTGTGATTTAGAAATCTTGCATGTAATGCAACTGTCAATAATTTTTTTTGTAAATTTTGTCATATTTTCAAACCAATATATTTCATACAATTTTTCAAGCGTTTTTTCCCATCCCAGATGCATCAATGATTTATGTGTTGTGTTTACCAAGGACCTACCGGTGCGACCGAGAGCGAGAGCATGGTTGCCTTGCAGGCCAGCGGAGCCAGAAAGGATCCTGCAAACCATAAGGCTCTATAACCCGGAGCTACCTACCGATAATTGGAAGGTGGTAAAAATTAACGAAAGCGGTAAAGCGACGATGCAGGTTGTCCTGCTTCTAAATAAGGACTCCATAGAGTTGTTGGAGCAAAAGAGCGGGGTCATACGTTACGGCTGTGACATGGCCAAAATTAAGGTCTACAGCAACGACGTAAACGCAGCGAAGAACCTGATCGCGGAGGTAGAGCCGGAAGAGGCCAACAGCGACGTGGAGATGGAGGAAGAATCCGAGCAGGTTGATCCGATGGACGACCTGACCGGGGGTTATGCCTCATCGACGTCTTCGCTGGGGGTCGGACGCATGCTTCGGCTTTATACGGAGGAGGAGTTGATCGAGATGTCGGAAGACGCGGTCAACTCCACCCTAATAGGCGACGTGGGCGATAACGGCCAAGATGGTGAAGGTACTGCAGATTAACCTTCACCACTGTAAAGCAGTTTCAGCTGCACTGCTGCTCCATCTAACAGCTAAAGGGGCAGCCGACATCGTCCTAATCCAAGAACCTTGGGTGGTGGGACAAAACATTTGTGGGCTGAAAGCGCCGGGCTACAGACTGGTAAGTGGAGCCTCAACGGGGAAACCAAGGACGTGCATATTGATAAGTATCACACTAAAGTGTCTCTTTCTTCCACAATTTAGCGACGAGGACACAACAGCGGTCAGTCTAAGTGCAAACGGACGACCAATTAAGATGGCATCCATGTACCTAGCGCATGACAAGGAGGTGCCAACTATCTGCATTAAAGACCTAGTGGCCAGCACGAGAGAGGCGCTAATTTTGGGAGGTGACGCGAATGCTCACCATCACACCTGGGGCAGCTCCGATGATAACGAACGGGGTGAGTCACTTTTTAATTTCATACTTAGTTCTAAGCTTGTTATTGCGAATAGGGGGAATGATCCCACTTTTATTACAAAATCCCGAAGGGAAGTTCTGGACGTTACCCTTATCTCTGAGAATGCGGAATGTCTGGTCGGGAAGTGGAAGGTGCTTGAGGAGCACTCCTTTTCCGACCACCGATATATCCAATTCGAGGTATTAGGGGAAACGCCCAAGGCTCCTCTAACTAGAAACTTGCGAAATGCCAACTGGCATAGGTATCGGAAAGGGCTGGATAGGCTTTTGCCACAAGATAGAGAGCCGGCTACTCCAGCAAACCTAGAGGAGCTGGAATATCTTGTCGACCATTTTACGGGGGCCTGCAGTAAGGCAATAGACATTGCATGCCCCAAAAAGCAGCACCGGGGTAGGAAAAAGCCACCCTGGTGGAATGAAGAAATCAGGATTTCACGCAAGAACTGCAGGAAAACCTTCAATCAGGCTACTGCGTCTGGTAGTGAGGGACATTGGGAGACCTACAAGACAACGTTACGGGAGTACAAGAAGCTCCTAAGAAGGTCGAAAAGAACCTCATGAAAAGACTTCTGCAATGGAGTGGAGTCTGTCTCAGAGGCAGGCAGGCTCAGAAAGATACTCTCAGGTACTGCCCAGAAAGCCCCAGGATGCTTGCAAAGACCTGACGGCTCCTGGACAGAGACCGAGGAGGAATCACTGGATCTGCTTCTTTGCACACACTTCCCGGGTGCCACGGATAGCATGCCGGTACAGCCACATCTAACTGGAGATCTTTCGGTCACTGGAGATTTCCTCACTAGGGAAAAGGTAATCTGGTCTATTCGGACATTTAAGCCCTATAAATCAGCAGGTCCGGATGGCATTGCCCCCATACAGCTGCAGCAAACACTTCAGCTAAGCTCAGCGTGGCTACACGCTATAATTAAGGGAGTATTAGCTCTTAACCATATCCCTAGAAAGTGGAGGGAATCAAGAGTGGTGTTCATCCCCAAGGCAGGGAAGGTGTCTCACAATAACCCAAAGGATTTCAGGCCCATCACCTTGTCGTCATTTCAACTGAAGGTTATGGAGAGACTGGTGGAGGTCCGTATCAGAGAGTCGGTTGGTGACAGACTCTCTACCACACAACATGCTTATACGAAAGGTAGATCTACAGAAACGGCGCTACATGAAATAGTGTCGTATATAGAGAGATCACTAGACATCAAAGAATATACGCTAGCAGCCTTCCTGGATATAGAGGGCGCCTTTAACAACATCATGCCGGGCGCGATAACGGCAGCACTGGCGGGCCTGGGCATCGACTCGCGCTTAGTTGCGCTCGTAAACCAAATGCTGAGATGCAGGGTGGTCCGGGCGGAGCTGGCGGGGGTATCGTTGACCAGGTTCGTAGAGAGGGGCACCCCGCAAGGGGGAGTCCTATCCCCTCTATTATGGGTCGCAGCGTAAACTCACTGCTGTGTGGCATGGAGGGGGGTGGCTGTAAGGTTATTGCGTATGCGGATGATCTTGCACTAACAGTAAGTGGGAAATTTCCACAGACTCTATGTGACATTATGCAGGTAAAACTGAAGGAAGTCGAGAGTTGGGCAAAAAATAACGGGTTAGGGGTAAACCCAAGCAAGACAGAACTTGTACTGTTCACAAGAAGGTACAAAATCCCCCCATTGATAACACCAAGGCTGGCACAGACCACACTAAAATTAAGCGAATGCGCTAAATACCTGGGGATAGTCCTAGATAAAAAATTAAGCTGGATTCAAAACACCGAAGAGCGGGTGCGGAAGGCCACGGTTGCCCTATACAGCTGCAGGAGAGCAATCGGCCAAAAATGGGGTTTAACCCCGAAGCTAGTGCACTGGATATACACCGTCGTGGTGAGGCCCATACTTCTGTACGGGGTAGTGGTATGGTGGCCAGTGCTGGAGAAGAAAGTAAACATTATTAAATTACAAAAAGTAGAGAGAACGGCCCTGATCTGCATTAGTGGTGCTCTCCGCACAACACCTACTATGGCAATGAATACGATCCTCAACATCATACCCATAGATATTATGGGACGACAATACGCTGCGTTTGCAGCCCTAAGACTACAGGGGCTTAAAAGCTGGAAAGCGGCTTGCTGTGGTCACACTACAATTCTGAGAAACCGACAACTACCGAGTACAAAGGACTACTGTGTACCAAGGCTCACTTTCACTAAAGGTTATAGCGTAACGCTACCTAGCAGGGAATCATGGCTCGAAGGAGTTCCGGGGTCTAGAGATGCCATAAGATTCTACACGGACGGCTCCAAACTAGAAAATAGGGTAGGAGGAGGCGTCTACTCGGAGAAATTGGGAATAAAAAGATCATTCCGACTACCTGACCACTGTAGTGTCTTTCAAGCCGAATTGGCAGCCATACAAGAAGCCGTTGACAGCCTAAAACTAGCTGTTATCGCCACTACGGAAATATATATATACTCAGACAGTCAGGCGGCCCTTATGGCGCTTGACTCTGTCACTATAAATTCGGAAACAGTTGCCAACTGCCGCAAATCACTTAACGTGATGGCAGAGCAGTTCGCTTTGCACCTGGTATGGGTACCGGGGCACAGTGACATACCAGGAAATGAGAAGGCAGACGAGCTTGCAAGGGCGGGTACTTGCTCTCCACTTTCACCAGCTTGGAAGAGGGTGGGTATGCCACTCGCTTCCTGCAAGCTCTTACGAAGGGAGAACTTCCTTGAAGAAGCGGCCTCCAGATGGGAGCGCACTGAAAACTGTAATACAACGAAGCTTACATGGCCAAAATGGGATGTACGGAGATCGAGAGAAATTCTCACTCTCAATAAAGGCGATATGTCACTGGCCATTGGTCTGCTCACAGGACATATTCTGATAGGAAGGCACGCAGAACGCCTCGGGGTTAGTCACAACGACTACTGCAGGAGCTGCCACGACGAAGAAGAGCCTGAATCAATAAATTCCTAGGTATAGGTCTTCTAGACGATCTAAGCGCGACTGCTAAGTTTGGAATACGGCAGTTGCTAAGGTTTGCAGACTCCACAAACTGGTTTAAGGAATAGGGGTTTTCTTTGGATCCATAGTGGTATCACAATGGGCCCTGATCGGGCCTAAGTGTGCTGGCGCCCTCTGGGCCTAGCAGCCACTTCAACCTAACCTAACATTACCAAAGACCACCTCAGTGCTCTAGGAAGTATGGGTAAACATCTGGTCTTACCGTAGCGTTGTATTTTACGGTGCAATATCCCAAAACGAAACTCATAAGTTTTACATAAATCATTGTTAACTTTTTCTTCCTTAAGGTCGGTTACCAATTTCACAATCTCAGGATCGCGTTGCTGTTCAGCCAACAACCAGTCGTTGGTAAATTCTGCAAAGTTTACCTCTTTTTGTTGTATCTTCGGAGGATTCGATACGGGCTTAGGAGGCAGTGGATTTCTCGAAAAGAAATCTACATGACACATTCGATTTCCGTTTCTATGAATAATGTAAAAGTCAAACGCTTGTAGAAAACCCACCACCTATGTACTCAAGGAGTCAAATCTAACTTAGTGCGAGAAGACTTAAGCGAATTGCAGTCTGTTACTACAGTAAACTTTCGCCCGTGCAGATAATGCCTGAAATGTTTTATTGCATTAACAACTGCAAGAGTTTCTAACTCATAAGAATGGTATCTCGATTCTGCGGCAGTCGTACTTTTACTGAAATATGCAACCACATGAAGCTTGTCATCGTTTTTTTGCATGAGGACTGCACCATACCCTATCGAGCTTGCATCAGTGTGCAACTCAATGGGAAAATTTGGGTCAAATATGGTTAGAACAGGAGTATTTGTAAGAACAGAGATCACCTTTTTTCTTATAGATTCATGGGAAGATTTCCAATCAAGATGTGTCTTAGTAATACTAGTCAAACTGTACAATGGCGCCATTATTTGTGAAAATTTTGGGATAAACTGTCGGAAATATGAGGCCAATCCTATAAATTGTCGCAACTGAGTAATAGATTGTGGAGAAGGTAAAGCTACTAATGCTTCAATTTTTCTCGGATTTGGCCTAATTTCCCCTTTACTTACTTCATATCCCAAATACTCAACTTTTTTCTTCATAAAGCAGCACTTCTTACTGTTAAGAGAAAAACCAGCCTTGACCAGCGTATTTAAGACATTTTCTATCCTTTCTAAACTTTCGCTTATGTCTTCATTTCCTAAAACCAAGATATCATCCATGTATACTACAACATAAGTATTAACAAGCTCTCCAAGAACTTTCATTACACTACGTTGGAATACTGCGGGAGCATTGCGTAATCCAAATGGCATAACAAGGTACTCAAAATGACCCTCAGGTGCCACGAAGGCAGTCTTTTCAATTGATTCAGAATGAACTGGTATTTGGTGATATCCACTTGCCATATCTAAAGTAGTAAAATAGTGACAGCCATGCAGTCGATTAATCTGATCGGATATTAAAGGTAATGGAAATCTGTCCGGAACTGTGTTATCATTCAATTCCCGATAATCAACACACATTCGGTCCGATCCATCTTTTTTCTTGACCAGCAAAATAGGACTTGAAAATGGAGAACAACTAGGTCGAATTACATTTGTTTTTAACAATTCGTCAACTTTATTTCGAACGATTCTACGCTCTTCAGGGCTCATCCTGTAAGGTCGTCTGCAAACTGTCTTGTTTGGATCTTTCAGACGAATTTTCATGGTTTCTTATTTGAAGAACTACAGGGAGTGCTTTCTGTGAATTTGTCTCTAAATTTATTCAAGATTTCTATCAACTTCGTTTTGTGCTCAACTGGAATGTCAGTACCAATGTCATCAAAGTCTAAGTCAACGTTTTTAATTTCGCAAACATTTACTTCAGCATTATCTATTTTGCAAAACTGTAAAGTTTTTAAAGTCATTTCCACACATATACTTTGTGCCAAAATTTCACAACCAATCATAATATTGTATTTCAAAAAATTATCAGGTAAAATATGAAATAGAATTTGTAATTTTACGTTATCAATTTCTACAAACGTTAAAATTTGTAAGGAGCTCTTTACACTCGTTTGACCAATGCCAGTCATTGTGACGACATTATTGATTCGTTTGCCACAAAATTTGGAACTAATTGACTCTTTCATTAATGAGCATTCTGCTCCAGAGTCATAATAAAATTTATAAAGCTCACCTGACTGACGCAAACTACCTGAAGGAGTCTTCAATATGCATACATCTACGCGTCGACATGAGGACCCACTAGATTTACTACTCAGTTCTTTTCCTTTTGATATAGTAGGGCATTGTGACGCATATTGACCAGATTCGCGACAGCGACAGCAGATAACATTTGTTGCAGTCGGAGTTAATAACTTCTTATCTAAAGGCTTGTTGCTTGAAGAATTCTGCTGGGCTGATGTTTTAAAGTTGAGTCGACATGCTGAAGCCTTGTGGCCAATCTTACCGCAATTGTAGCATTTGATATAATCATAGACAACCTTTTGTCGCTTACCGCCTCCTTCTTCATGTTCATTTCTAATTGGCGTAAATTTCCT